GGTGAAAGGATTCACCAGAGACAGAGTGGGGAGCAGAACGGGCAGACTGAAGTACACTGCTGAGGGGAGCAGTGGGCGGGGCAGGAGAGGTCTGCCATGCCATGTGGGTCACCTCTGGGGCAAGGATTGAACTCGCACTGAAGCAGCCTCTGGCTGGTTATGTGGCCGCAGGCAAGTTCCTACCCTTTCAGCATCCAAGAGCTGGGAATATTAATAGTACAGGCTTCAATGAGCTTTTGGAGCAATATGTAAGCTAATATTTGCAAAGCACCCAGAACAATGCATATGCATGTTGAAAATATAAGTTAAATAAACACGCCCAGACTTTTCTGAGCACACAGAAGCATTTACATGCACACATTTGTTTCTTTTGCTTTGTTTGTACAAAAACTTGATCTTACACCACATACTCTACTGCAGCTTGTTTTTCTTCCTTCCCGGGATGCTCCAGGCATCTTCCCCCATCAGAATATAAAGTTCTGTGTAGCAGTATGTAGACGAGGGAATTACTTCTTAAATGTAGCTTTAAATACATAATGACGCCTCATGTTTTTAATGTGACTGTGTCATGTGTAATGGATGCACTAAAGTGTGTTTCCAGGACCTGCTTTGGTGACATGCATTTGGTGTCTAGTCTTTGGTTCCAACAGGGTGGCTGGGAGCCTTGTCCATGCTTCACTTGCATTCTGGTTGGACGCATTCTTGGGGTGCAGTTGCAGCAGAGGGGGTGCATATTTGACTGCTTTGGATATGTGTTTTTGAATGACCCTCCAGAAGGATTTCCTACTTTGTTCCCACTGGGAGTGGCAGAAGACCTGTGCGGTCATGTCTTGACAACCCTTCCCTGCCCCAGGTCTTTCGTGGTCCTTCAGGGCTTTTGTGCACAAGTCATCTGGCCTTCAAGGCTGCCATACTGTGACCTTGTTCTTCTAACATTCCCTAATGTGGCCCCATCTCTGTAACTGCTGTGACTCTATCAGCCCTCTGCTTCAGTCAGGCCAGTAGTTTCTATTTAGGGCAAATTTGCCCGCAATGGGCATTTGGCAATGTCTGAAGGGATTTATTTCAGTTTTGCTGTGGTGGAGAAACCTTGAGTTAAGCTGACTGTTCCTTACCTGCCTCTGGCCACAGGATGGACGAGAGCTATGTTGAGATTCTAAAGCCGTGCCTAGACTAACTGGGGAGAAAAAACTTTTACCAGATTGTAATGTCAGTGGTATGGTATCATCCTTTTTCAATTTTTTTTTTTTTTTTCATTTTCCAAGGTGCTTGCCTAGTTGTGTATGTGTAGCTGCCATCAGTTACCCTACTGGTGCCTGAGCAGCCAGCATCTTAACAGTGACTGGACACTCTGCAGCCACCAGCTCCTCTAATTTGCCTTTGTCTTGGGGGAAAACCTTACTCACTTGCCATTTGTCTTGAAGCCCAGCATTTATGTTTCCTGGCATTTATTTCATATCTTAAAGATCTTTCCTATCCTAACAGGAGGCGCCAGCTTGATAATCTCTGCATTGTCTTGAAAGTGATTGTCAAGTAACTAACTTTACAGCTTCTCCATTTTAGAGGTTGGTGCAACCAACAGTTTGGGAGCTCCCAGATGTGACTGCATTGGCCCTGCCATTTGGTGCTTATGCTTGTACTTCACAAGCAGGCATGATTTAGGCCATTTTCAAGTCTGGGTGACTCTTATCTCAGGGTGTGGGTGTTGAAGATAGCTCTACCTTCAGTGTCAGGTTCTCAAATTTTTTCTGTAAAGAACCAGCTAATGAATATTTTTGTCTTTGGGAGCCATGTGGTCTCCGTCAGTTTCAGCTCTGCTCTTGCAAGCTGCCATGGATGAGACTTACATGAATGGACAGGACTGTTCCAGCCATGGATTTTATGCCCACCACAGCATAATTTGCTGAGCCCCTGAACCCGTCAATATGGATGTATCAGTTTGAATCCTGGACGGATGAACTTAATGGCTTCTTAATGGTTTTGAAAATGAAAGCACCCAGCCTGGTGATTTTCCTGGGAAGGCAGGTGATGTGTGACCTTTCTTTGTTTTCCCTTATAGAAATGTGGTATGGCGTGTTCCTGTGGGCACTGGTGTCTTCTCTCTTCTTTCATGTCCCTGCTGGACTGCTGGCCCTCTTCACCCTCAGACATCACAAATATGGTAGGTTCATGTCTGTAAGCATCCTGTTGATGGGCATCGTGGGACCAATTACTGCTGGCATCTTGACAAGTATGTTAGACATTAAAATACCAGTCAAAATGTTCCATATGACTAGTCAGTTAATGTCAGGGCCAATTTTAGAACCATGTCTGAGTGAAATGAAGAAATCAAGAGTGGGTTTTAACCACAAGTCCTGTTTTCTAATATGTGGTTTGTTTGTTTTTTTCAACACCCCACATACTCCACAAGCTTCCTGTGTCAGGTTTTTCGCTCATGAGCTTCTGGGAAGCCATATTAAGCTTTATGCCATATATCTTGTGAGACAAGTCACCAGCAACAGAAAGGTATTTTTCTCTTTGGAAGCTCCTTCCTGCCCCTTTCAAGCTGCCACTTGACTGGTGGTATTGCCAGTCAGATGTGGTTACTTCAAGAATGGAAGACTTACTCTATGACAAAAAAATCTTGTTTAGAAAAAGTACCTGGTTACTTTTTCCTCTCAGGAAAAATAAGAATTGAATAAGAATTGGAGTAAGATTCATATTATACATTATTTTTACCTGGGTTTATTTATTTGTTTATTTTTGGCTTTTGCTTATGTCATGAGGATGAAGGTGATAAGTTTAATTTTTTTTTTAGTTTAAATTGTTTTTAAGGTCAAAATTAGATATAAATAACTTGTATACTTTATATAAGACTCAGGGGAGTGGGGAGCCCTTCCATTCTGGCATCTCTGAATGATAATCACAGCTTGCATTTTGGCTGTGCTTTTAGGCTTTTTTCTAGGTATAAATGTAAACACAAATATATTCTTAAAAACGTATTTGTATTAATTTGTAACTTTTTTTTTTTCACTATGGATTTAAACCTTGAGCCTCAAGCAGATATCTGTCTCCTTGACTTGAGGATTTTTGGGGACAAAGTGATCTCATTTCTCTGTATTTTGTAGATGATGAAACCTCTGTGGTAATGTTGGGAGAAGACCAGCTTTTCCCCTTCTGCATTTTAAGGAGTGTCCATAACTGGCTCTGTGCGATTATTTTTAACAATCACCTACAGCTGACTTAGAGAGCTTCCGTTTCAGGGTCCTCACTGGGTGACTGGTGCCTACAGCCTGTTTCAGATTTCTCACCAGTAAAATAGGGTACTACCTCCTCTGCTGACATGCTTTGACAAGTAAATGAACTAATTGCATGTTAAAGGCTTAACAGAATACCTGACAAGCATTAACTGCAGTCAGGGCTGCGATCATCCCCACCTGCAAGACTCCAGTGCAGAATTGGCTTTCTTTCCCCTGTGCTGCGCCTTCTGCTTTGCTTTTTTCTTTGAATTTCATCATCCAAACCCACTTCAAATTTCCTAAGCTTCTTTTTCCTCAGCTTACTTTTGGGGAGCTAAATTACAAAGGGCCGGAAAGCAGGTGCCTTTTCAGTGTGCATGGCACTTTTTGTCTATCACCACTGCCAGTTGGCCTTGCAAAGCCCACGTGTCTCAGGCAGCCAACACAGGTCATGGATAATAATGCTTTATTCATCCTTAAAATGTCCCTCCCTGGTGGCATAGTGGGTTAAAGCATAGCACTAAGAAGCTAAAGCCACTTCCACGTGAGTTTGATCCCCGCCTTCCTCGGAGGTGACCCACATGGCACTGTAGACCTCTCGTGACCCACCCTCTGCTCCCCTCAGCAGAGTACTTCATCTCAATCTGCCTGTTCTGCTCCCCACTCTGTCTCTGGTGAATCCTCTCAC